GCACAATTTTTTAAATTTATCGAATAAAAACATGAATTTTCATTCAATAAATTCCATGGACATTTGTCTAGCAATATTTCATTCGTGTTTATATTTAGCTTTCAACACGTCCAAATACATTTTTAAGGTATTTTTATCACCGTTATTTTTAAGAACTTGAAATAATGTATTTCCTTGATCATTGCGAGCATTTATTACAGCTTTGAACTGTTTAGAATTTATTGCTCTTACTTTGTTAACGATCCTGATATTACCATTTTCCGCGTCCACAAACAATTCTTTCATTAATTTTAACAAACTGATAATATCAGGATCAATAGAAAGACTAAACGGCGTCTTGTCGTTATTATTTTTCGCGTTATACTCTGCGCCGTGTTCCAGTAAGGTCTGAAAAATTTTCAAATTATTATACTTAGCCGCAATGTGAAGTGCCGTGCTACCGGTCTTAACAGTTTTAGTATTAACAAAATTATATAATTCGTCGCGATTTACATGCTGCAAAAGATTTTTAACAATCTGTTCGTGACCTTTGAAAGTGGCAACGTGCAACGATGTTTTACCCTGGCTATTAACCGAAGCAGCATCTGCTCCATATTTTAAGAACACGTTTACGATATCTGCCTTGCCACTGTCAATACTGTTACATAACAATACGGAGCAATTCAAATCTGCAACAGTAACATCAGCACATTTTTCAAAAAACTGTTCAATTACTTTGACATCATTATGCTTCATCGCAAGTATTAACATTCCTCTTACAATCCTTATAGTCGTTTTAGTATCTGGATGTTCTAGCCCCAATATCATCTTGTGTCTTTTAATTACATCGCAAAGTATTTCTGAAGCTTCGATATATTTTAACTGAAAAATAAGTATTGAAGATATGTTACCCTTTGTTGAGAGTGTCTCTTCATGATCTTCCCCCAAATTCTTTCGGTAACCGTGATATACCTCCCGAAACATTCTCAAAGCTTCTTCGAATTCTCCTCGAGCTAAAGCTACTAGAGCTAAATTATTTTTTGCCCTATGGGTATAATAATGATTAGGAAGCATAAACTTAAGTTTATTATAATTTTCTTCAAAAATTTGCCGTGCTATGTCGAATTTCTTTTGAGTATAAAACACCAAACCCATATTATTTTTAGTGTTTAAAGTGGTCGGATGATCATCTCCGAAACGTTTTCTTTCTATTTCATATTGCCGCTGGAGAGAACTAAGAGCTTCACTATTCTCTGCTGTATTGCAGAGTGCTTCAGAAATTTCAGATATACGACCGTTTATAGTTGTAACCACAGGATGATCCTCTGTAAAAATGCGTTTCCATTTACTTAATAATTCAGTATAGTTCTGTAAAGCAATTTCATATTTCCCTTGATAATATAATATGTGTGCTTTAGTTAAGAAACTATGCAAAGTGTCAGGATGCTCAACACTTAAAAGCTGTTCTCGTTTATTCAAAACATCCTGACAAATTACCATTGCCTCATCGCATTTGCCTTGTTCTACTAGTGTTTGCGCAATGGCATTACGAGTTTCTAAAATCTCAGGATGGTCTGAACTAAGAACTTGTTTCTGCAAATTTAGTACTCCTTGAATCACATTAATAGCATCATCCAATTTGCCTTGCTTAAGAAGTACTGCGCCTATATTACTTTTCAATGTTAAAACTAAAGGATGACACTGGTTTAAAGTTTTAGATATAATGTCATATGCTTCTTGCAACATTTTTAAGGCTTCACTATACTTTCCTTGTTCCACGAATATACCGGCAACTAGATTTTGTGTATGCAGTGTGTCAAAATGATTTTCTCCCAATATTTGTTTTTGTGTTGTATATACCTTTCTAAGCATTTGTAAGGCTATATCATATTTACCTTGTTTGCAAAATACTGCAGCTATGTCAGATTGAATACTTAGCATCTCTGTATTTTTATTACAATACCCGTCGTTAGCTAACAAAGCATCTAATGCTATATGATAGTATTTTAAAGTTTCGTCATATTTGCCTTGGTGAAAGAATACCAAACCGATATTATATGCAACAGCTATAGATTCCAAATAGTATGGCTCAGCAATAATTTCGTTCAAAACTTTTTGAAAAATTTCACCAGCTATATTATAGTTTCCTTGGTGCATATGTATCAATCCCATAACATTTTTTGTCATCGACAAATGATATCGAACAATGTTGTTATCTTGTGATAGGGTATTTAACAAAGTCAAAAATCTCTGGCAGAATGAGAATGCTTCCTCGTACCTAACGCTCATCATAAATTCACGAATTATAAAATCTGCGACAAAGGCATACTTTATCACCAGTGCACTACATTTCTCTGTATAATTCCAAACAGATATTGCATGATTCATATTTTCTATATTTACTCCGTTGTCGATGAAATATTTTAAAGCTTTTGTTAAAATTTCTTCGTCTTTATTTTCATATTTTAATCTTCTTCTTATTACTTCCTGTACTAATTTATGTATACTAAATGCCGTACCTTCTAAATTAATTATTGAATACTGTTTTAATAATAGGATAGCAGAGCCTACTTTGTCCTCACAGTCTATAATATTTACAAATATTTTTGTAGATATATCTTCAGAAGCTAAGTAAGATGCGATACCTAATATTATTAAAGCATTACTACCATTTTCACTTTGACTTATTATATCAAAGGTAATATTCCAAGTTGTGACTATTGTTTCAATATAATCATTACTTGTGCCTTGACTTTCAAAACATCCTACCTTTTCATTATACTTTTCCAAATAATTGTCTATTTTAAACTCTGAACCCACAATTTTTAATTTCTCATCTTCTGTTTTTATATAAGATACAGTTTGTTGTAACGCTAAGGGAAAGCAATGTAATTTCTTTGCCAACACTCTAATAACATTATCTTGTACATCAGTTTCTATCTTAAGGGATTTTTTAATGAATTCTACAGCTTCGTTCTCCTTAAATATATCTAATTCTAATATGTGCACATTACTTGGCCAATATTTATTGCGAGAAGTAATTAAAATATATGATTTATTAGAGGAGCATGGTGAACATGGCAAAAAATTTTCTATACCATAATCAAATTCATTCTCACTTTTATATTTTACAGCATTATCAAAAATAAAAAGACATTTACTAGCAGACAAAAGCTTATATACATCCTCAACTATAGAACATATTTTCTTTTCTTTATTATCTGCATTTATCGTGCTAACCCCTAACTTGTCAGAAGCTAATCTGTGAAAAGATTCCACAAGTGTTTGGTAACTTTCGACGTTTATCCATATAATTTTATTATCATATTCTTGGCTGTACTGATTGATATATCGTCTAACTAATTCGCTTTTACCTACTCCGCCAAGACCGCTTACGCACACAAATTTGGGTATGTTTTCACTCCTATTTTGCAATATGTTATGTAAATCAGACAATTCTTTATCTCTTCCAACAAATGTGCATGTTGGATCTCTGATATTAAACCAAATGAGAACTCCCAACTTGGCTTCTTCCAGAAACTTTTTTCCTTCCTCGAAGGAAAGGAATCTATCTCCACCTTTATCCATCAACCAATTCAACATTTTGCGAAAAAATTTATTATATACATTTTCTGTGACAAGCCCTGTGACAAGAGTTAGTCGTTAACTACTATGCATCTACTGTAGGACTGAATGCCCACTAATTCTTACCAACTCGCTCATTCTAACGTCATTGCAGAAGTAGATAAATGCGTTTCCCTTATTGACAAAAATAATCTCTTCCTATTAGCCTTATCATATTGCTCCGTGCGACAAAGCAAACAAAACCATCGTGATAAATAGGAAGAGCATTAACAAATTTAACTGATAAATATTACCATGAATTGGATTATTTCCAATCTTTTGCTTGCTTTGAATTTTATTCTTTTGCCGTGACTCTAATTTCTTAAATGTAGAAAATTCTAAAACCTGATCTATGTTACTGTTACACTGATAATGTTCCGCTACTGCGTTTTGATCTGCAACCTTTGACTTTAAGGATGTTTCTAAAATTTTTAAAATATCTGGCCTATTAAGAGGTCGAACATAATCTATTAAAGTCTCAATTTCTGTCCTTTTAATGTTAATTCCCTGTTTCCTTAAAAGTAGCTTAATAATTGCGTCATTGTTACTTTCAATGGCCCAATATAGAGGTGTTTTTCCATCTGTGTCTTTAAAATTAATATCTATCTCACCATTTATAAGACATTCTACTTTATCATAATCATTTTCACTTATTGCAATAAGTAATTCTCTATTATTGATACTCAATCTTCTTGCAGATTTTCTGTTGAGCATGTTAGATTTATTAAATTTATCATCCGGAGATTGAGACATTTTACTTAAGATTTATTTACATGAAGGAGTAATCAATTAAGTTATTAGTCGTCTTAATAAATAAACAAGATCAATATGAGATATTTATCAATTACATTTAGGTATATTATTTAATTTCCTACCTTTGAATTTGTTTTATAGGTTATAGTATGGTTAATAAGAAACTTTAATCTGGAACAAAATACACAAAAACTTACGGGAATGTACTTGAATATTACTCTAAGTCATATTATTCTTTCGTAATACACTGCATTGAAACACACAAATATGTTCTCCTACTTTTGACACAGCAGTAGTATGTGGAATAAACTAGACGAGTTGCGACGTCAGAACGGATGACTCATTTCTTGACGCGATTGCACTGTCGCACGTCGTGAGTACATCCTCCATCGCCTTAACACTGTCAGCAAACACCCAAGCGTAGCACGCGATTTAACAGTTTGCACTAACTCAAACTAAAAGTACCTCATATTACAAAAGAAAGGACTGACTTCTTATCACTGACACCAAATATTCAGGTATGTCGACCACCTCAGTATGGAACACGACCCAACAGTCCCCAGCAACTAAGGTAACTGGCATTATAGGCCTAGAACCTCCAAAGGTGAAGGAAGATTAAGTTTTGCACGCATGTGTGTCGCATGTCATTTTTATTCTTCGTCTTCCCATATGCGCGTAATTCGACTTCACATGTATCGATTGTGAATTATCGGAGATCCTACCGACACTATTTTGACGCTTATCGTAGTTAGGAATACTGTCGTCACGTGTTACGCATCCCGTCAGGACCGGGCCCTGTGACATGAGTTAAACGTTGACTACTATTCGTTACAAACGAGAAATCCGCCGGGCAAAACTTTACTGTCGGACCGAATCTCCACTAATCCTTACCAACTCATTTATTTTAACGTCATCGCAGAAGTAGATTAAACGCATTTCTCTTATGGGCAAAGATAATCTCTTCCTATTAGCCTTATCACATAGCACCGTGTGACAAAGAAAGCAAACAAATCTATCGAAACAAAGTGAGTCAGACGCAAGGAATAGATGCAAGAGCGTAAACTCATCCTTATAGCATTAACTTCAGATTCTTCCGGTGAATGTTCATTTCCGAATTTTATTTAACTATACTTGTATTTCATACACGTATTAAATACGTATCCAGTATTTATGAAGTATGTGAGAAAAAAATCATCTTTTGTTCGTGCAGTTGTACTTTCATATTCGCAGGCTTGCAATGTATTATTCGAGAATGGGGATTTTACGGATATCTTACGCCTATGGTAACGTCTTTCGTTACCGCGGCTGGAGATAGTGGTTTCTGTGAGTCATAGAAGAGTGGGATCAACGAGCGAACATGTCAGACGAAGTGAGCGGAATATCCCCTTTGCCCCACCATTGATACATTTGTCATCAAACAATAACGCATAGTAGCATTCATTTCAAGCTCAGACGATTGTGCCTCGCGAAAATACGACTTTACATTACAGCGTTTCAAGTCACGGTATTTGTAGTATTTTAAATTATAATAATTTATACTTATACCAATTAATCAACTAATGTCATTTTTGTGAGAGAAATCTTTATTTTTGACGGTGTCACTTTGCATCGGATCTATTTTTGCTTCGAAGAAAATTGATAAGCTGGATAGTTCCTTGTAACTAGGCTGTGTGACGCAATGGGCTGGTATTGTAGAGCCTATGGGAACCTTGCTGAAGGGTTCGTAAGGTCACATTTCAGTAGTCCAGCACGCATTCCAGGAAAACTCGAGCTTCCGTTTATACCGTTCAGAAATTTAAAATATAATTAAGAGTAGAAATTCTTGTTGAAATTTATTAATGCGAGTTTACCACAAACTGGTTCTTTATCTCTCCACATTAGTTTCATCCTTATGTCCAGTTCGCTCGTTTTGTTCGGTTTATAGCTTTTCCCAACTCGTTCAATACCGCAAGTTGCTCCGAATTCACAATGAATGGACTGTCTGCCTCGTTTTTCTCGTTACACGGTACTTGTTAGAGATGAAGAAGTTGCAATGTATTGTCCGAGTTTGACAAGTTAGCAATCGGAAAGAATGCGGGGCTAATCGATCGTGAGTTGTTTAATTTTTCTAACGTAATCGTAATGATAGATCACAAGAATCTTTGTCATTGAAGTGTCATAGAAAAGTCAACTAGAAAAGTATGAAAAATTTAGAAATTCGGTAATTCTTTTGGAAGTTAACAGATTCCTGAAGAGAGTACTCTAACAAAATAGCTATGATAAATGTACATGCAACAAACGTGTTCAAAGAAGTTTCAGTGGTCGAAAAAATAGGGAAAGTGGCTGCTGTAGATGATATATACCCTGAACTCCGTATCTCTTTCCAATGCGTGGGCAACTTTCACTGCTGACCATTGTCTTCCGGCGGGAGAAAGCCCTTCGTTGGAGTTCTAGGAAGATATCGCTGAGATCCAAGGATAACAGCCACAGATGGGGATGCTTAGACGCTAAGCTGAGGTGGCTGGTTCGGAGCTCACATGGAGAATGCTAGTCCTTCGGGTCACCGATTTAGTTGAAACGTTGCAGGTTTGTAGATATCGTCATGCAGTTTGAGAAAATCTATCATTATGGCGGCAACTACTTATTAATTTTTGAGATATTTACGATTAAAGTTTTATTACTTCCCTAATTATAGATTTATTTCTATCATTTTTTAAGTGAAATCAAGAACAACAGTCAAGAATTTCTATACTGAAGAAGGGAGGTGTGATTCGCGTCCATAATTGGTAGTTTTTTTTAATCGATTTTTATTTTGTGTTCATTTTTCGTCTATGAAAACATTGTAAATAAACAACTGTAAATAAAATTTCTTAATAAAAAAATTTATTTTTTACGCTTTCTTATGCATGTATATATTTATTACAAAATAATTAGAATATTGTGCAAGAAAAATACTTTTCTATAGTAATCTTATTTACTACAGAAAATGTAAAACCTATCACTAATGTAAGTATTAATTATTAAATTAAACATTGTATAAGAATGTTGCCTATAATTCCAACTTTGCTGTGCAGCTATAATTGTTCATGAATTAATTAGAAAAACTTGGAAATTTATTAATTTTCTATTACCGATTTGATTTTATAAGAGGTGTTGAGAGCATATAACCAGAAGAGGTATCAAGTTTGAATAAAAATTTCACCGCTCGCGATCAGCGCCATCTATGATTTTGGACCCAAAACTCAGAAAAGTAATAGGAATACACAATAGGCGAGGAGGTCGTCGAAGAGCTCGCCACGTGACAGATAAAGACACAAAGGGGATAGAAAAGGATAGAAGGGCTCCGAAAGTGAAAAGTTAATAAATTGATCAATTTCCGCAATTAATTTATGAACTTTTATAATTGCATTGCATAGCTGAAACATTGAGCAACATTCTTATGTAATTTTCGTACATAATTTGTTACGAATTAGCTAGTTATTAATTATTGTTTGATGGCGTCCATGATTTCGTAACGACAACCATCACGATCTTCCGTGAAAATAAATAATACTAAACGAAACTAGAAGCAAAATGTGAACAAAAGTTATACATGAAGATGCCATAGGATGTCCTTTATATAATGCGTGCATGAAGGTCATAATTTGATTACGCAGAAGATAGTAATTAATGAAAGGCCAATGGTGTCTTCGACAATTATTCAAAAACTTCGTAGAATAATCATTAATAATTAATTAATTAAGGACAAATTTATATCGAAAAATATATTGAAAAGTTCTTGAAGGATCTGTCTTTATGATGCAATTATAAAAGTTCATATATTAATTACAGATATCGAGTAATTAGTGAATATTCCACTGCCGATTTGATTTATTAAAATATATTAAGAGCACATAACCAGAGTTAGTAAACTGACATCAGAGTCATCTATGATTCTAGACTCAAAGCTCGAGTTCCGTAACGAGAACATAGATGACACTGATGTTAGTTTACTAACTCTGGTTATGTGCTCCGAATATATTTTAATATATTTTAATAAACTAAATCATAAAGTTTTCTACATTCTTCGATAAATTCAACCCAAACAGCGATTTTAATTAGACAATCAGCATTCGTTTCTTTATCTGACAGACGACAAATATGCAAAGCTATGCCTTTCCAACGCAATTATAAAATTTCATAAAATAATCACAGAAATTGAACGATTTGTTAATTTTTCTCCAAGTGAACAGGCGAGTGCATGGGAAATGAGAAAAAATTACAAACAAATGTCGGAGGCATTGTTGTGTCCATGCAGGTGTTCCTGCATCACGAAAAGAATGTAAGTATTTGTATTAACATAACCTTTAGTTATAATTAAATAGTGTAAGTTAGAAAAGACAATATTCTATTGAATTAAACAGGCACGTGCAACAATAGGAAAATATTGGACTCATGGAATATCATCAGCGTAGATGCCAAGAATCATACTTTATAGCGAGAAAAAATTGGAGCAGCAATATAAATATGTAAAGTATGATATGTCTATTGCATTCTAGGTCGGTTAACCATATGACATTCAAGATACAAATCTTTGATGGTCAAATGAAAATTCAGAAAATGGAGATGGTTTAGGCAGACAAAAAGGAATACAATTAATTTAGGTGATGGCCTCTTATAACAAGATATGGAGAATACAGTGCGATTGAAAGGTATGTTGTGTTTCTGATATAAATGAATATTAATATCAGTGGTCAAAATCAATGATCATCGCTAATGTGTTAAGTTTGAAAAAAAGGAATGAGAAGAGGAAATGTGTAATATGTCAAATCAAGAAACAGAAAAGAGGCAGCATATGTATCAAGAGAGAAACATGTGTGGCATTGACTTGCAAATATGAAGGTCATTGAAGAGATGGGGAATGAACAATTAATAATTGTTATGAAAGGTAAAGTTAAATTGAATATAGAGTATAAATTTTGCATTAAGGCAAAAATGTCTAGTAATATCTACAGGGACTTGGAAACTATAAAAGAAACAAT